AACCCCACATTGGGCTCTGTGCTGACGGTTCGGAGCCTGGAGCCTGCTTCAGATTCTGTGACTCTCTGTGCCCCTCCCACATCATGCTTGCGCTCTCTCTCTCTCTCTCTCTCGTTCTGTCAAAAATAAATAAACATTAGAAAAAAAAAAAAAAGACAACATTCCAACTACCAGGACCTTTGCTTTGTGTTGAGCCAGCCCAAGATCTCATTATACCAACAGGGTGGTTCTTCCCACACATAGTCCCGAAGAATTAAGTATTTCGTTAGCCTCAGGAACCAGTTTAATATTCTAAGATTTAGTCTTAAGTACTGATACAATGAAATAGCAAACTCAAGTGCCTTCAGAAGTAAACAGGTAATGTGAATGTCAGATTGGGGTCAGGTCAAGCCTCACCTCACACTTCACACCCAATTTAAAAAATACATTTCTGGCACCAGCCAATCAACCCACACAAGCAAACAAACATCTTTGGGCCAGAACCAGCCTATATAGGCCCATAGGAGAGATGGCCCTCCAGCATCCTGGCCCTGGCCAGCTCCAAGTGTGCTGTATGGCAGAGAGAGAGAGAGAGAGAGAGAGAGAGAGAGAGAGACCGACCCTTGGTCCTGCCCTCCAGGAACCACCCTCCTATGATAGGTGCTATTCCAATAGGTGAGCTTCTCTGGGTGTCATGGCAGGAGACAAAGCCATCTGGCTCCCAGAGATATCTGCAAATTGGAAACTTTTGGGAATGTTGGTTCTGGACCTCACACTGAAATCTGATGTTATACTCATCCAGGGTGGTCTCCAAACTTTTTAATTTCCCACTCCATTCCAGTAAAAATACCTGAGATTGTTCCCCATTCAGTGGCGGTAACACAGTTGCCATGCTAGCATGTACAAACTTGCTTTTACTTATATCTTCCTGTTTATACATATGTACAGGACTAATACACATGATAAAAATCTTTGCCATGAGGGGCACCTGGGTGGCTCAGTCGGTTAAGCATCCAACTTCAGCTTGGGTCATGATCTCACAGTTTGTGAGTTCGAGCCCCACGTTGGGCTCTGTGCTAACAGCTGAGAGCCTGGAGCCTACTTCAAATTCTGTGTCTCCCTCTCTCTCTGCCCCTCTCCCACTTACACTCTGCCTCTCTCTCTCTCTCTCTCTTTCTCTCTCAAAAATAAATAAACATAAAAAAATTTTTTAAAAATCTTTGCTATGTCTGACCAAGTCTAAAAAAGGCCTTTTGATAAGTATATAATAAAAATCCCAGATTATAGTAAGTCATCTATTGGTAACAGAGTTTTCTTTTTTGTATGATGTGAATAATGGTGAGCCATAGAACCATTAATTTGGTAGATTCTAATAAATACAGTAAATATTACTAAGCTTAGTTTTAAATTTTCCTATAAATGTACAGTAGAAGTTCTAATATTTTCTGTCTAAGGTCTGTGGGTGACCTTGGGCTTCCTGAGAGGGACACCACACGGTGTTCACAGTCCCAGTTTGGGGACCCCTGCTTGCAGGGCTGCCTTGGTCTAACCAAATTCACAAAGCTGACTAAAACAGCCTTTGAGTTTATGTATAAGCAATGATTGCCAACGGGCCTGAATCCTTTCCTATGGGAAGCCTGTTTCTTTCTACCAGGGGAGAGTGAACATTGAAGGTCAGTATGGGCTGACTCTTTTCTCACCTAAATACCTTCGTACACTGTGAGCACCTGTCTTAGCATCAGCTTTTCTGGAGACTTCTCTGGGCCCAGATGTTAGGTTTTCTATTTTGTGGGGTTTTGGTACTCTGAAACAACCCTCTCCCAAGGTGGGGTGGTATGGAGAAGTGGTACCCAGGCCTAGAGTGAGCCTGACCTCAGTCCTATCCTTAATCTAGCCTCCTAGATGGTCCCACCAAAGCCCACCTGTGAACATGTGCAGAGTGGGTCCCTGTTGCAGTTGCTTATCACTGTTTGTTAATTTCCAGTGTTTCATGCTCACCATAGGTTCTCACATTCAGAGGGCAGGACCAGGCAGGCCTGTCTGGGGTGGGGTCAGGGGGAGGGGGGAAAACACCAGGTTCTGCTGGAGTCCAGCTCCAGCAGGTCCAGGGGTTTCTGAAGGATGAACGGTGTCGGCAAAAAAGTGAAAATAAAACAAAACTAAAACAAAAATGAAAATAAAAAACTAAAAAAGCTAAAATAAAAAGCTAAAATAAAAAAACTAAAATAAAAATGGACAGAGACAACAGCAGCGTGTTGAACTGGCCCATTTATTGTAGCAAACGTGGCATTATATATGCTAGTGATTTCCTTGTAGCATACGTCATCTGTGTTTTTCTAACATTACCTAATTTTGAAAATGTTCCTATGTATAAACGACCTTTAAGAAATAACATGGTGATTTTCCCCTAACTTTCCCGCATACCCTTTGATTATAGATTTACTTCTTACATTATTCCATTATGCATCTGCGTTTATCTATAATCTACAAAGCATTTGCTTTGCTGTTCTCGTGAAGGGCCCTCCATTTCTCAACACCTCAAGTGGAACAGTTACAGGGACATGACCTCCTAACCACATGAGGCCAGAAGAACAATGTGTTTGCCTTGGTCTGAGGTGCCAGAAAGGGTCTGAAAAGGCCTTAGAAACCCATGCCTCATACATTCTCAGAGAGACAATGCACCTAGGAACCAATGAACCATTCTAGTTTAACTGACTAGGTTCAGTCATCATCTGGAATGCCTCTGGGGGGCCAGGTGGGCCTAGGGGTTGAAGTCACCTGTGCCCAGAGATACACTCCTTAGTTGCCGGAGTGGGGCTTCAAATCCATATGTCTCTTTTTTACAGGCCCTCTTTGCTGGCAAAGGTATGAGGCTATCCTTCCTGTAAGTAGAGGAGTCTCCATAGGGGATGGCAAGGGCTAAACGTAAGGCCACACCATTTCTTGTGGAACCTTATTTTCTTCCCTAATGGTTCTTTTCCCAGGGGGCCTGCCGAGGGCAATTCCCCAACAGACAATACCCCAGGTAGTTTTAAAGCTAAATTACCTAAAAGCAGGAGTACAAGAAGCTTCACCGTTGGTGGGCCGCCTTGCAGTCACCAATCGGTCCACAGCCCGGGCTTTGCCACTCAGGCTGGGATAGCTCGGCTTCCAGCAGGGTTGGCCTCTGCTGAGCAGTCCTGGGGAGAAGTTTCCTATATTTGGGCCCTTCCTCATCTGCATGCTTACCTGCCCAGCCTTCCCCACATGTAGCTCCAGGTTTGCTTGTGAGAGTGTTCTAGTAGAGACACTGCCCCCTGCCCATGGGGCTTATGGTTTTCACATAGTAATCACTCAGTAAGGACTTTAGCCAAGACTTCTGCTGGGCCCCACTACCCCAGGACTCCCACCCAGCACCTTTGGGATGGGGTCCAGCCATACGGGCAGCCAGAATCATAGACCCTTAGGGCTCAAAGGGAGACCTACTGTGGAGGAACCCCCTTGTGACAACAGGGAAAGTGAGCACCTTGGGGTGTGGCACTAGCCTCCAAAATGCTGTGAAGCTATTTATTTTTGTGACTTACTCTGTGGAAATACCAGCCATTGCTTTAGGAATTGGTGCTTTCCTCCTGTTTAATAAGCAGTCCCTAGTCAAGGAAATGGGTTATTGCAGGATTTTTTACCTCAATACCCGGGGTTTGTTGTCTTGCTGCTTTGAAGAATGAAGAGGTGGACACAATAAAATGAAAAACACACAAAAGTTTATTAGAGTATAAGTTTAGGAAGTAAGAATGGTATGAAAACTGTCTTTGCAGAGAGGGGGCATTTAAAAGGGAATGCCCATGACTATAGGCAAGGGTCTTTGTTTTAGAAGGTTTTGGTAACCCCCCCCCACCCCCGCTTCACCCTTGCTCCTTCTCAGATCCTACCCTTATTGGCTTGGTAACTCTAGGTGCTGGGTTGTCTATTCCTGATTGGCTTGACTCCATAATGTGAGGAGTCAGGGTATGGTCATAATGCCCCTCATATAACATAAGTTTTATGGTTTACCTATTTTAGTTATGTATTTTGATTGTCAAATTCCTGAAGGGGAGTAGGTGGTTTCTGTTACATTCTTTTTTTTTTTTTAACTGCTATCTTTTTTTTTTCAATATTTATTCATTTTTGAAAGAGAGAGAGAGAGAGAGAGAGAGAAAGCATGAATGGGGGAAGGCCACAGAGAGAGGGAGACATAGAATCCAAAGCAGGCTCCAGGCTCTGAGCTGTCAGCCCAGAGCCCAACGTGGCCTTGAATCCGTGAACTGTGAGATCATGACCTAAGCCAAAGTCGGACGTCAACCGACTGAGCCACCCAAGTGTCTGTTATATTCTTAAGAGGAACCTTACTCCCGAGGGTCAGTCCCACTCCTCTGGTCAGTCCCTCTCAGCGTTGTTCCAAAATATGTGTTTTTCTCCATCCAAGGACCTCAGGTCCTAACCTTTCTTTCCCTCTCTGCCTATTTTGCCCTATCTTTCCCTATCATAGTGTTAGGACTAAGTTGGGGAAAAGTTGGACCTTCTTTGAAACACATGGATGCAAGCTGTTTTATGTTACTGCATTTCAAATCAGATCTATTTGCTCCTGATTGTTAAATGATTTGGTGTGGAATTCTCTGACAGATCACCTGTGGTCAGCTCACATGCTACATAAGAAGGGCTAAACCCTAAAACCAATAAATTCTCCTTCAGCTCTCTAAGTTCCACAAAAATCCCATTGTTTCTGGCTGCAAGGAAAGGAATATAAAAGCTAGAGGAAGGCACATCTTCTTCCTTGAGCTGTGACCCCCACAGCGGAGGCTTCCTTTTGCTGCCAAGGGAGCTCACTGTCGCATGGGGTGGGGCTTCACAGCCATCTATTCTTGGAGCCTCACCAGAGCAGTCTAGTGAGGAGGCCCCAGCAGAGCAGGGCTTCTAACAGAGCAGGTACAGACCTCTCTGCTTCAGTCTCTTAAAGCCGGCCTGCGACAGTGTGTTTTACATACTCGGGATTTTTTTTTTTTCAGACCTGGAAGACTTTCTTGCTGCAAGGTCTAATGGAGAAAGAACACAACACATACTGAGTGTTCTCTTCCTCCTCCCCTGCTTGCTCGTACAAAGCATCCTTAGTGAAGCGGGAGACTCCTGACTGGATCTTAGAGGACCTAACTCGCAGTTCCACACCGGAAGAGCCTTGGTGTTCCCAGCACAAGCTTGAGCAAGCATGGTTCTCTGTGGGAAAGCCAGGGCTGTGCATCCACATCGTTTTCTGTGTTGTAGGTAATAGATTTGTTTCATTTCCTAGAACTGAAGCATTAGGTGAATATTTTTATTGTTTAATAAATATTTTCATGAAACAGATTTTCTCCTCTAAGCCTTATTTCAAGGTCTGCAACCTAGAGCAACCATGAGTAAACACTTGTGCTGGGGCCTATTCAAGCCTAAATTACCTCTGATGATTTAAGAATAAACCGAGCGTGCGGCCCCTCCCAGATAACAAGTTCCCTTTGAGTACCCCTTCATCTCCCGCATACATAGATACACCATGGATGTGGCAGCACTTCATGTCATGCATTTGTTTACTGTCAGTGTCCCCCACTACTCTTATAAATAAATCTTTGGGAGGCAGGGACAGCACCACATGTGCTGTGGGTCTGGCAAAGAGCTGCTGCCTTAAAAAATGCTTCATTGATAAAGAAGCAAGAAGGGGGAGAAAGAGTATGAAGGAGGGAGACAAGACTTGAGGCTGACAGCCACTTTTTTCTCACCTCCTTTTCTGCAGCTTCCCCTACTAAACCAGCTCCTTTGTGACACCTTTTTCAGGGCCTTTGGCACTTCTTCGGATTATCACCATCTCCTTAAAAGGGGAAGATTCTCCATAGCAGAATCCATTCTAAAGACAAGGCAGAGAGAATTCAGTAAAAAAGGTCAGAGCCTCAGGCTCTAGGCTAGCCCTCCTCTCTTGGAGTCTAGTGATCTGATAGCCAACCAAGCAAGCACAGCTTACCTGCAGCAGGCCAGCCACTAAATCTTGTTACAGACTCAAACTTGTCCACGAACATGATGTGCCTTGCTTGTAGTTCCTAAAGCTGCCTTGCTCTGTTGAACCTAGGAGCAGTTTATATGTAGTGATTGGGGAAGGAGGTGAATACATGAAAGGAGAGTGATAGGTTTCTTGAAATCTTGGGTGGGGGAGCCTTGAAACAACCTGAAGGTATGCATTCATGATGGGGGGCATCAGATAATTTCAAGACAGATGTTATCATCTGGTCTCTATTAAGTTTCTATATCAATGTGTAAACAAGGAATAGAGAGTGAAAAAGGCAGAGTTAATGGGGCTGAAAGGAGGATAAAATATAGGAACATAAAAAGCAACATGAAGTTAGGTTAATAATATAAATCCTACAACTGTAGTACTGTTTATGCTTTCAAAACAGGTCCAGCCACCAAGCATCCAGCCTCAATCTGAATCCCAATCTGAAATCAAGTATGTATAAAGAATTTATGAAAAATAAAGGGACTGAAGGACCCATCTTCCTATCAATCACACAGTACTTGGGAGTTAGGCGTTTCTAAGCTGGATCTGTCAAGTACATTAGCTCTCAGATAATCACAACTCTGGACAGTTACCACAACTAGAAATCAGAGGAGTGAAAACAAGAAGAATATTACAAATTATTCAAGTAAACGATAAGAATAAAATGGGATCAAGAAATGGACTCTGGAATAGATAATACAGCCTGAATTAATATATTAATTGATCAAGATATTGATATTTTTATAAGGCTTATAGAACTTCATTTAAAGAATTCATAGCTGAGTTCAATAGAAAGGCCTTCCCATTGCTCATGTGATGTAAAGCTGCATGTACTGGAGTACTTTTATAGACAGAAAAGTGCCCTGCCTCGAGACAGTTGCCACAATGCTCAACTGTCAAAATGCTGCATTGGAGGGTAGTTTTGACTCTATTTAGATAGTAGAACACTCTACCTATAGGTGAATAGAGAACTCTTGGTGTGAGCACTAAAATGGGAAGTGATGCTGAATTAAATAGGCTACTACTTTAGTGTTACACATAGCATACACACACTACACACTCACATGTAACAATTCAACAAAATCTTTTGAGGCCCACTATAAGCTGGGCCCATTGGCACAGTCCTTCAAGCAGGAAATAGGAGAGAGAAGTGAAACAATGCAAAGGTTGTCAGTGACTACAGAAGTACATCAGAATGGGGCAGGGACACACTGGAGACACCAGATGAGAGGGGCATGTCCAGAAGATCCACTTTGAAAGCATACATTTCAAATAGATTGGACTTTCATTGAGTTTTTCAGCTTTTTAAGTCCACTTCACTTTATTAGCCTATGTAATACAATTACTTTAAAAATCTATACTATAAATTAGTTTGTTGGCATTTTCAACCATTAGTTATGAAAATATGAATTCAGAATGTGCAATATTCAGATGAATGTTAAAGAAGGGAGAATACAGGAAAGGATTGACTTATCCCCCTATATTGGATCTTTTTATTTATTTACAAATAAAATTGTTTATATTTAAGGCATATAATGTGATGATTTGATATACGTATGTGCAGTCAAGTTAATTAACACACCCATCACCTCACATAGTTCTTTTTTCTAGATAAGAACACTTAGGTTCTACTTTTAGCAAATTCCAAGTATACAATAAAGTATTAGTAACTATAGTCATCATGTTGTGCAATAGATCCCAGAACTTACTCATCTTATACCTGAGTTTACACGCTTTGACCAACATCTCTCCATATATCCACCCTCCCAGTGCTGACAACCACCTTTCTTTAAGTTCAATTAATTTAGATTCACCATATAAGTAAGATCATACAGGGTTTGTTTTCTGTGTCTTGTTTATTTCACTTTGCATAATGTCTTCCAGGTTCATCTATATTGTCCAAAATGGCAGGATTGCCTTCATTTTAACACTGAATGATATTCCTCTGTATATATGTGTACTTATTATGTATATGCACACACACACACACACACACACGCACACACACCCACACACACACATACATTTTTATCCATTCATCCATTGACAGACACTTAGGACATATATTGTTATCCATTCATCCATTGACAGACACTTAGGTTTTTTTCCACATCTTGGCCATTGTGAATAATGCTACAATGATGAAAGGATTTCAGGTATCTCTTATTTCCTTAACATATATAAACAGAAATGGAATTGCTAGATCATAAGGTAGTTTATTTTTAATTTTTTGAGGAACTTCCATACTGTTTTCTATGATGGTTATATCAACAGTGTACAAGTGTTCCCCTTCCTCCACATCCTTGCGAATACTTGTTAATTCTTGTATTTGGCATAATAGCCATCCTAACAGGTTGGACATCTCATTGTGGTTTGGATTTACATTTCCCTGATGACTAGTGATGCTGAGTTCCTATTCATATACTATGGACCATTTGTGTGTCTTCTTTGGGGAAATGTCAGTTCAGGTCAATAAAGGGTTTATTTGGACTATGGTTCATGAAAAAGTAATTACTAAACTTTTGAGAAATATTTCTAGGCAATAGTGATTTTTGATAGCAAAGTTGCCTTTAAATAGTTTCAAGTGCATTCTGGTCAGTACCTTGTATTGCAACTCAAATGTTGTAGAAGCAAACAAGTGATGAACTTTGAACATGTATTCTCAGAATTTGATGAATATGTTTATACTATGTGTAGAATGTTCACAAAATACGTTTTACACTTTTTACATTTTTATACCAATATGAAGTATGCTGGAAAACATAGGCAGGCAAAAATTGTCTCATTTTTGATAGCTGCACTTAGGAAACTGAACTGAGAGAACTGTTCCATGTTTGAGAGGCTACAGTTGTGGTGAAACGGAAAAGCAAGATTTCCTTACTAGTATGAATATGTAAGATACAAACTCTCATTTACATTATAAGTGGGAAATTGGATCCTCCTAATAGAATAATTCCTGACTATAAATAATAAAAGCAAATTAACCATCCTATCTATCTATCTATCTATCTATCTATCATCCATTTATCATCAATCATCTACCCACCTACCTACCTAGCTTTGGAATAATATAAAATCTCATTCAGCAATTGTGAAAAGTAAACCACCACCTTCTTCTGTAGTGTTTGGAGAATTTCAGGATAAAAGGTATTTTCCCTGTAAATAGCTCTCCAGGTGTCCAGAGAGATCATTAAAAGGCAGAAACTTCCCAGGAGACAAAAGGGGATCCTGGGCTCATGGTTGGAAACTTCACATAAATGTGTCACACATCTTATCTGTATCCTGCCATTGAGGAAAGCAGATAAAGGCAGCTTTCCTAGGCCACTATCTCAGAGCTGCCCCATCCCAGGGATGAGCCTATTCATACCTCTGGTTTTGCTCACCCTGACAGCTGGTGAAGGGACCTCCTTTGGAGAAAGTAATTACAATCTGTCTCCATTCTATATTGTTTATAGAAGCGACTCTTTCCTTGCCAGCTTTCCTTCTCACTCAGTCTACCCTGGCATATCCTAGAAAAGTAGGGTTTGTTATTATAAGGCCATGTAAGCTCTTACTCGGGGAACCACTTGGGGACACTGAGAAAAGGAACAGGGAATGCCACCTGTCACATGGTTTCAATTTCCTGACTGTTCAGAGCTTTTAACCCATTCCTGCATTAGAATTTACTTAAGAGCCAAAGCGAATGCCTGCCAGTCCAGAAGCCCTCTCTTACCTTCCAGCCACCTCACACTCCCTCTGCCCCAGGATTGAAGTCACTAACTTCTTGACTGGTAGCATTTAAAAGCAGCTGTATATGTATTTCCAATCTCTGTAGTCTGCAAAACCCATCTGGCACAAGTAGCTTTATATCACACAGGCAGTAGGTCCTGTGACTGACCTTTCTATTGAATTCATTTTTGAATATTTAAAAGGAAGTTGTATAAACATTATATACACAGGCTTTTGTCATTCCACTGGATTGTCTGCTATTGGAAAGGAAAACAGAGAGTGGTGTCACCTCCAGTTAGAACTGCTGGGCACTCCACTGATCTGACCAGGAGCTGGACACCTTTTGGATCCCAACTAGACACTATGAAAGTTTAGCCAGAGAGATAGCAGGGTCCCCAGCAGGTGAACACTGCCAATCTGAGTGGGAGTGCTGTGCTTGGAAATGTTTGCAACACTTCCATTGGTGTTCATACCCTGACATGTAAACAAATGTTCAATAACCAGCTCTCCAGAAAAATATCTATAAAAAATGTTATAGTATTTACTTTGTATATTTATAAATATGTTATATATTATAAATAGGCATATCTATCAGTTTATTATAAGTAAGGTAGAT